GTAATATTTTTATTGGCATCTCTTTTTATGTCCTGCTAGACACCAAATGCAGTGTTTTGGTTTTGTTTGCTGACATTTTAAAATACTGTAGTATGAGTAACATTTGAGGTGTTTCAGACATTGCAAGCAATGGCCAACATGTACATTTATTGTCTACTGTTTGGTATGCATAAAATCTAATATTCTTGGTTGGACTATTTGAAATATTCTTCAGCTGCCTTATATATTGGTTGACTTATTTTTTTAAATGTCTCATTGTTTTGTAAAGTTCAAAGAACTGAAAGAAACACCTGCCAAGACTGTACACTTGTTAGCTACATTTCTTGTATCTTGTTCTTCTTATAGAGGACGGGATTTGAATCAATTCTCATAGATGCCTCATGCATGTACTGCGGTAAACAGCTATAGAATTATATTATGAAATCAGCTATCCTCATGGGCAGTGTTTTTAGGTTGTTACTATGGTAACATTCCCATTTGTGATTTTTTTTTTTAATGTACTAAAAATTTGTAGTCATCAAATACTACCTTTGGCTTTTGATTCCTTGTATAAATACATCACTCTGCTACCTGTATGCTATTGGCTGGCAGCAGACACTGCACTTAACTGCATCCTGTAAGCTGTAGGCAGGGTTAGCAGGAACAGCAAAATGAAAGAAATGGGAACATTTTGTTAAGTTACATTTTAAGATTGTCCTGATGGTGCTGGTAAAAATTTAAATGTTTCTGAAGAAGAGTGAGAGCACTGCCAGTTATTCTCTGAGATGCTTTAATTTTTATAAGTATATGATAATGAAATTGGTTAGATATGGTAGCAGTAGGAGGTAAGGAGAACACTAGTCTGTCAACTAAATGGGTGCTAAATAACCAAAACAGAAGTAATGACCCTTCAGAGATTCAAGAGGCTCATTTTGCAATCTCTCTCTCTCTCTCTCTCTCTCCCTCCTACTCTCCTTCCCTCCCTCCCTCCATTTTAGCCTTGTTACCAGCTTTTTCGAGTATTTAAAAGTTGTCCTCTTTATTTCTCTTCTTATTATAAAATCAGACTGTAATATCTTATTGTTAATTTGGAATAGTCTATAATGTTCCCTTGTATCAATTGCTGCATTCTAGTAAAGATTCCTACTGTTTTTGTTTTGTTTTGCTTCTTAAAGCCCCCTGCTGCTGTTGATTACACCTAGATCTGCTACTGATTGGAACTGTTAAAAGGCAGAGATAATGTGGATGGTTGCTGAATCATTTAATTGTAGGACTAATAAGAAGCATTCTCTCTGGGACCCAACAGAAATAGCAACACTAGAATTTTATATATAAACTGACCAAAAATATTCTTTTGTACTTTAGTAATATTTAGCGTGGAAAATATTTGCTCAAAATAAAATAAGGAAATGCCAACAACCTGGTTTTATTCCTAAGGCATAGAACTGAATCTGATCAGAGGAAATGAAAATGTTAGAGAAAATTAATTTTAGCATGCTAGACTCTAGAAAACTATGTCTGTGAAACAGTTAATGCAGTGGTTGAGAGTATAAAAATGAAAGTGCTGAGGAAATTAATTAGAAATGATATATAAAATATAGACCTCTCCTGAGTAGCTTGCTTACATTTTTAGAACCCTTACCTAGGATTTCCATAATAAAAATTCTAGGATAACCATGTATGTGCTAAGAGGTACCCACAGGTAACAGTGTGTGCCTTATTTAAAACATGAGATAATTAGCACTTTGGTGGAATAAGCTTAGACTTACTTAAGGGACCATGGCTATGCTACTGTGTGTTTAATGATAACTTATGCTATTACTAATGTTCTTTCTGTTCATTGTAATTAATTACTTAAATAGCTTATCCTCCAAAAGTCTTTGTGAGTTGCTGCTAGGTGCAGTTTGTTTGAAGTTGTGCACATCTACAAATTGAATCAGAAAAAAAGCTAGTGTTAATTTTTGTTTCTCTTTTGTGTTTTTTTTTTTTTGGGGGGGGGAGAGTGTGGCACAGTGGGAGTTAGAAGGTAAATAAGTCCTTCAGATTTATCCTTGTTCTTGACCTTGCTGTGTAGCCCATGTTACTTCAGTTTCTTTAGCCACAAGATACTGGGATTATAGTGTGACATTGTGCATCTTACTCTTCATGTTCTTTTAAGTAATTTATTGAAATACTCTAATCAGAGAAAATACTTAAAAGATGCTGGATGGGAGAGGCTTGTGAGCAATCTGATGATGGTTTGAAGAGAAAAGGGGTTTTAGATATGTGCTAAAGACAAGTTAGCAAAGACTTTTTTTTTCTTCATTTTTTAATTTTTACTTAAATTAGAAACAGACCTGCTTCACATGTCAATCCTAGCTCCTCTCCCTTCCTCCCCCCTCCCCACCAACCTCTGCACTCCATCTCTCCTCTGCTACCCAGGGAGGATGAGGCCCTCCATGGGGGAAATCCCCAAAGTCTGTCATCATTTGGGGCAGGGCCAAGGCCCTATCCGATGCATCTAGGCTGACAGAACATCTCTCCACATGGAATGGGCTCCCAAAGTCTGTTCATACACCAGGGATAAATACTGTTCTACTACTAGAGGTCCCATAGATTGCCAAGGCCTCCCCACTGACACCCATGTTCAGGGGGGTCTGGATCAGTCCCATGCTGGCCTTTCAGACATTAGTCTGGAGTCTATGAGTTCCTCCATGTTCAGGTCAGCTGTTTATTTGGGTTTCACCAGCACGGTCTTGACCCCTTTGCTCTTCACTCCCCCATCTTTGCAACTGGATTCTAGGAGTTCAGTTTAGTGTTTAACTGAGAGTGTCTGCCACTGTTAAAATCAGCCACTGGATGAAGGCTCACTAGGGTGGCATTTAAGGTACTCATCAATCTCATTATCGGGGAAGGGCATATAAGGAAGCCTCTCCACTATTAGCAAAGACTCTGTAGATGGGATGGTGATAATAACGCAGTGGGAAAGGGTGGGTGTTTCATTTTTGTTGATGTCTTACTAAATATGCTATCCACCTTAACACAATGGAAATTTTACTGACATCTAATAAATATTCTTGCTTTTCTAAAATAATGAAGAATTGGGTGGTTGGTTGTTTCTCGTCTTGAGGCTGTACACAATAATCAGTCAGCAGTCTCACTGTGCAGCCCACGTTGATCTTTCTTGATCTCAGAAGGACCTTCTTGCCTCACAGCTTGCCTTGCTGTGCCTGGCTGCTCATTTAACTTTTGAGAAAGTAAAACAAGGAAGTTAAAATAGTAAAGCTTAGAGTGATATAACACAATATTACAAACTGGAATTGTTTTGGATAATAAATAGTCTTGAGATGAAGATTTTGCAGGATATGAGGCCTTCTGAAGTACATGTGGACGACTCTCTTCCAGGGTTTTCTTGATGACTCTTTTCTCCCTCTGTATAAGTACACAGTTTTCTATTTTATTAAAATACACCAAGTGATATTGGATTAGATCTTACCTTAGTAACATCACTTAAATTGGTTATCTTTGTAAATGCTGCCTCCCACTTTAGCTGTCCATTACCATATGATTGTGGCAACTCTAGCAGAGTTTGGTTTGCTTTGTCGGCCAAGATCTGGGGACATATACATTGAAAAACAAAGTGGGTGCAGCATTTGTTTCTTTTAATAAATGCTCCAGCATAATTTGCATCTCAGTTCATTGGCTTTCTTTTACAATTAATGTTGATAATTTTTGTACTCAATCATGGATTTCAGTTTCAATCTTGTGTCAGAAATGAGCTAAGATTGAAACATGGTTTAATCTCTTATTTTATCTCACTGTTTTATTCTACCAGGTTGGGAATAATCTAAATCATCTTACAGCTCCAGATATAAGTTCAAACTTGTTAAATCTTTTAAAAAATACCATTATCATCTAAACATGATGGAAAAATTTTGCTATAGCAGATGGGTTTTCATGTACAATATTGAGGAGATAGAAACTAATCTAAAACAGTTGTTTCTGGAATCTAGTCTTGAACCAGCATCTTGGCATTCTTAAAAAGTTTAAGAACTGAGATTTCTTGGGCCTCATTAGGATATTGAGAAATTCTAAGGGTGGTATCAAGGAATTTATTTTATTAAGATAATATATGACTCTGATGTACACCAGCTTTTGATACCTGTATACTAAAGGTATGAATATATGTCTGTATAGATACGTACACACATATGTAACTGTAGGGAGAGACCCTGATTACAAGTACTACTGACCAAATTTAATTGCTTTAAATAGCTAAGGTATGTAAAAGTTGTATTTCCTTCTTTTGTAATATTTTATTGGTTTTGTTTGATGCTAAAGTTTTGATTAGAAATGCCACATAAGTTATAACTTTATGCTTGTGAAAAAGATCATTATCCGTGTTGTTGGTTTAGTGTGTGCCATTCTTTAAATGCTTTACAAATGTAAAGGCAAACACAACTGTTGTGTTATTCTATATAATTGCTTCCCCACTACAAATTATGACATAAGACTTTGATGTTTTCAATTACTATTAGAATGTGTAAGTATTTCTGTAGTAGTACATTGTTTATTTGCTTGAGGCCAGGAAATCAGGTTCAGCTTGGGTAACCTATTGAGACCTTTGATGCAGCAAGTAAATGATGAAAAGAAAGAAAGTAATGAAAAAGAATGGACTATGAGGTTATGCCTGTTGACTTACAGAGCAGTGGCAAAGCACTTGATCATCATGCACAAGAACTTGGGTTTAACCCCAGCCCACACTACTACAAAGCAAAAGCAAAGGAAATAAATAACAAAATAATTAACAATTAATGCTGGAGATTAAAGCACAAATAATGATGACCATAAGACATTGATGATGGTCAAAAGGACATAAATAAATGAGAACACACCTATATTCATGAATTAGAGTACTAGCATTATTACTATTCAAGTTGATTTATAAATTTACTCCAATCCTTATGAAAATGCCAGTGGTGTTTTGTAAAAATAGAAAAAGCAAACAAATAAAAAATAAAAAAAATAGCAAAAGCATATAT